TAATAAATATAGTCAACCATGACAGGTGCATTCTGTGCTGAGGTATCTTGCCATAGATCTCTTACAGGATTTTAGATTGAATGAAGATATGACTGTGTCCCTGAGGATATTCCATGATTGTGGTGCTCTGTAGGAAAATGAGGATGGAGCCACTTTAGTTTTGTATAGCAGTATGCTAAATATCGTGCTAGTACTGGATCGGAGGTTATAGGAGGTGGGAACAGCCAGGGAGAGCATTCTACTCAGGTAGGGTGGGAGCTTCCCAGAAATGCTCTCATGCACAAGGCTGGAAAGATGAAGAGTGCATTGGGATTCCAGCGACAGCCAGTTTAGCTCTTTTAGCATGTCACAATGGTGGGTAAAGTAATTCCATTCTAGTATATGACTTAATGACCTGCGTTTGTACAGTTGTGTTTGTTGTGGGGTGTCACCTGCCTGTGGTCTATCCTCTGGAGGCTCCCTGTGTAGGTGTGGTTGGGCTGTTGATTTTAAGAATAAGAAAAGTAAAGCCCTATTGGGCTGAAATGAAAACAAAAAACTTTAGTGCTTCAATCATTCCACGCATTTCCCTCCAGCCTAAAGCATTTAGTACACAGCTTCTAAAAAAATGTCAGGCTGTCACTTTCTCCCACCCGGCCAACATTACAGGTGCCTGGTGCGGTCTTAAAGGACTGCGGCACCTGACCGAGCCTCTGTTCAACAGTTTCAGCTATATAGCACTGGTGAAAACATTCTGTGCCACCCCTGTGTGCACACAGTTTGGGAACTGCTGTTTATAGACAATAAACTAGGCAACAATGTGCAATGTCAATCAGCAGTAGCTAAGGCCAGTAAGGTATTGTCATGTATAAAAAAGAGCATAGATAGATAGAGATAGAGATAGAGATAGAGATATAGATAGAGAGATAGATAGAGAGATAGATAGAGAGATAGATAGAGAGATAGATAGAGAGAGATAGAGAGAGAGATAGAGAGAGATAGAGATAGATAGAGAGATAGAGATAGATAGAGAGATAGAGATAGATAGAGAGATAGAGATAGATAGAGAGATAGAGATAGATAGAGAGATAGAGATAGATAGAGAGATAGAGATAGATAGAGAGATAGAGATAGATAGATAGATAGAGATAGATATAGATAGATAGATAGAGATAGATATAGATAGAGATAGATAGATAGATAGAGATAGATCTAGATAGATAGATAGATAGATAGATAGCAAGTCAGTAACCAACCTCATGCTGATGATTTGCATTAACACTAAAACAGCTGTCCATGAGTGGTTCACTGGTTTTGCATCTTTTCCTAAATTGTGTTCCAAGCAGTTGTATACAGCAAACACAGACTCAAAGGAATCCATGTTTAAAATGGAATGAGGCAACAATGTGATTCTTTGTTGAACTAATTTGCATATGTCCACCCAGAATCCGTTGCAGTAGTAACATCACTGAAAATGTGTGATTTCTGTGGGAAAAGCAAGTATTATGGCTTCACTGGTGTGCAGATTTTTTGTTTAAAGGACCACTATAGTGCCAGGAAAACAAACTTGTTTTCCTGGCACTATAGTGTTAATAGGTCCCCCCCACCCTCATGCCCCCCCTCCTGCCAGGCTGAAGGGGGAGGAAGGGGTTAAACGTTTACTTTTCTCCAGCGCTGGGCTCCCTCAGCGCTGGGGACTCTCCTCCTCCTTCCTTCCGTCAATGAGACAGCCACTAGAGGCTGGATTAACCCATATGTAAACATAGCAGTTTCTCTGAAACTGCTATGTTTACATCAGGCAGGGTTAACCCTAAATGGACCTGGCACCCAGTAAGGTATTGTCATGTATAAAAAAGAGCATTCATTCTTGGGATGAGAAGATAATTTTGCCCCTTTATAAATCGCTGGTAAAACCAGACCTTAAATATGCTGTGCAATTTTGGGCACCTGTTCTAAAGAAGGATATTGTGGCACTAGAAAAAGTGACGAGGCGGGCTACAAAATTAATAAAAGAAATGGAACATATCAGCTATGAAGAAAGGTTAAGAATTTTAAACCTTTTTAGTTTAGAAAAACATTGCCTCAGAGGGGGTATGATAACATTATACAAATATATTCGGGGCCAATACAAACCATTGTGTGAAAATCTATTTACAATCAGGACTATACATAGGACACAAGGTCATGCATTTAGACTGGAAGAAAAGAGATTTAGTCTAAGAAAAAGGAAAGGTTTTTTTTTACTGTAAGAACAATAAAGATGTTGAAATCTCTGCCTGAATAAGTGGTTTTATTAGCGTTTGCACAGATGTTTAAACAGAAACTAGATGCATACTTGTAAAAACATAATAAACAATGATATAATTTTACAACTGCAGGGTAATAGCTTCATGATCCAAGGATAAATCTGACTGCCATTCTGGGGTCAAAAACACATTTTTTTCCTAGTTTGCAAAATTGGAAGTGCTTCAAACTGGGTTTTTCGCCTTCTTTTGGATCAACAGCAAAAAGCATATGTTAGAAAAGCTGAACTTGATGGACACATGTCTCTTTTCAACCTATGCTACTATGTAGCTATGTAACATTGACTTGGTTGTTAATAACTTGATGGCAGAAGACAAAACAAAATATCCCAAATCAATAAACATGGTAACATCATCTCAAAACTTAGCAATATTGATTACATTATATCTTGGACAGCCCATGGAGTTACATAATACTAACAGTTTTAAGCCTTGGGGATATGTTTGCATTGCTACACTTGCCCTTGGGGCCTTATAGTCTGGTTCTCTAGAATAGTACTTTGCTTTAAGTTTAAGCTTCTCTCATTATTTACATTTACAATTATTCAAATACCTATATATTGTAAAATTCTTAGATTTGATTATATCCAGAATGCAGTACCTTCAATTTTTCATTTTAATAGATTTCTATGAAACACAATTTATGAGGATTTTGTTATAATATTGATTCAGTTTTAGCTGCCAGAATATAAAATGAATATTATAAAATAAAAAAAAGAATAGACACATCAATCTATAGTTTTTCGAAGAACTGCCTTGACTCAAAAGACGGTATGATAAGGTATGATAATCTAAATTTGCTATGAATACATTCAAGGATTATGAAGTTCTCAAGAATTGTGAATTTCTTCATAAAACTAAAAACAAATTAAAGTATCTAATGTGTATCTATCCGTTTACAGGAATAAACATGTTGGCTTGTCTATCTTCTGAAAAGAATTAACTGATGAATCACAAGTACATACAATCCACCTCTCTAGCATAGAACTTGTTATACAGTGAGATTATAAACATAGCAAGTTGTTTTACAAGCAGCAGAGACAGAATTTGGGCAATGGAAGCTTATGTAAAAATATCCTCTGATGGCAAAAGCATGGATGGTTAATAAAAAAAAAAAAATAGGAAGGCTGGGAGTAATTAGCTGATGTCTTGCTGCTGATACCTTCCGCTGAAGATACCGCAGTTACTAATGAGTTTTTCTTGGCACAAGTCATCATTTCCATCAAGCAGATATGAAGATGTATGCCCAGAAGCTGAGTTATTACATCACTATAATGCAACAGATGTGTCTGAAAGAAGGTTGAATGCATTTAATACAAGGCAAGACTTACATCAGTAAGAATATAAAAGCAGATTGTACATTGATTCAGGAATGTGACAGGGTGAATATGATTAACTTGTATCTTACCCGAGTCATAAGTCTTGCTGTAATGGTAATGAAGAAAGATGAATAGGACGTTACCTAGTGCTTCATTTAAAAGGGTGCTTAATAACGTTCCCTCTTCTTCTGTGACGTCAGGTAAATCTATATATTAAAGAGGCACCCCAAGCACCAATACAACTTTCATACATTTTTATAGATTTGATCTAAATATTTTTTTTAATGTTATTTGCATACCCAATTTTATACAGTTTTGGTAAAAATAAATAAATACATGTTTTGCAGTATTCTGCATATTATCCCTGCCTCCTGTGTACCTTACCACCTCCATTGTTGTCCCTTATTCCTAAGATGCAGTGGCAAATAACACAGTTAGATTTGTCATCAAGAAGCAAGGCAAGGAGCTCTGGGAGTTGTAGCTCATCCAAAAAGTTTTCAGAAGTAGAAAAACTAATTGACAGATCCCTGCTATGAACAGGGGTTGTGCACAAAGAGCTAGTGAGTCCAAACCTACTACACT